ATTGGGATATTTGGCCTGTGTTGTATGCCCAAGCTTGTTCATCTATGTTCAATTCCTTGTTACGAAGAGTTATTGGGAGCGAACCTCTAGATGTTTAAGCGAGAGTGTCAATCTCGAACCGAACGATTAGTTGCCCGGCTTTGCTAGAACTTGAATTAATTATCCCCGATTCCCTAGCTTCCCCATCTTTGTTTCGTTATATTCTTAGGTACATTATTGTTTTTATTTTATTTCTTAGTTGATAATTATTCGACCTCCATTCTGATTAGAGTGTTTAGGAGTTATTTTCTTTTCGTGTGTAATCGACACCAAAGCTAGATTCCGAACCGCCTTCCTCGAGAGATCGACCCGGGAAACGAATCCTTGATTCGATACTCGGTAAAATATAACAATTTGTACACAACACGTAGTACTTATCAGTATTAGTGCATTGCGTATGTATTATTTTATTTTATGTTTTTCAGATTTTTGTGTGCATGCATATTTATTATTCATCAAACAATACATTTTCTTAAAAAAAGTAACAAAAAACCTTATTGGATTATTCATCAAACAATACATTTTCTTAAAAAAAGTAACAAAAAACCTTATTGGAAAAGCCTCCATCAAGCAACTCAAAAGCTTCATGGGAAAATTGTACGTCTTACAACAAACCTCCAAATTAGTGGCTTAAACACTACATGTTGGGGCGTTCAAATTTGGAAAAGAATAGAGCATTTTCTATCTTATTATTAAGCACTAATATTAGTGTAATAGATACTTGAAAGGTCACATATAGTGTCCTTATTTCCTAAATCGCGTTTAAATAGGAAGAGCAAATTTAATTCTATTTACGGGAAATATCACAATTCCGTTACAGAACCATTTTTATCGGATTTTTCCATTTCTATCGGATTTTTAACTGTAAATTATCTATCTATACAAATCTACATGATGTATTTACAGTTAAAAATCCCGACGAAATGGTGGACTGTAGTCATCCCCTCTATTTACATTCCTTGCTTGCCCCATTAGTCCATGCGCACTTAATGCAATGTCAATTCCTCATTTAGACTATGTTTGGTAAAACTAGCTGATAAGCTAGCTTATAGCTTATTTGTAATTTTTTAGCTTATAGCTTATAGCTTATGACTTATAGCTGAAAAGATAACTTATATGATAAAAGTGTTTGGTAAAATTAGCTGATAAGCTAGCTGAAATAAAAAATTCAACTAGCTTATTTGAAAAGCTACCTAAAGTAGCTTATGAGATAAGTTCGAGCTTTTTAAAAAAACTCGTCCTACCAAACGAGACTTATTTGAATATAAGGAGCTTCTAAGCTAACCAAATAAACTATAAGCTAACTTATTTGACTTACCAAACACAGTCTTAGTGAATCCTGATAACATCCAACAACATACCCGCAACCCATTATAATCACAAAATTGTTTATCAAAAGTAAACAATAACCATATAATTGGGCCTTCCCTTCTGTATTCGTTTGTATACGGTTCATTTTTTATCTACTACTGCATTTACTGATAATACATAGCTACCATACAATGATACAAATAGTATTTGATGACAATTATGCACAATACATTGTATATGCAAAGCTGCGTTCATAATGAGTATCAACGCAACACTTACTGATATATATATAGTAAATGTTCGTGTAGTACTTAACACCTTTATGTACAAGTAATCAAAATTAAGATAAATACTTGCACACCATATGTGAATAATCTTTTTACATAAACTAGTACAACACCCGTGTAATACACGAGTGATTAAAACAAATTATATTTCACAAAAGGTAGAACTACAATAATTTACATAAAAATATAAAAAAATAAAGATAAAAAATAAATAATAAAATAAAAACAGAAATTGTAATATTATTTCAAAATTTGAAAAACTTCTCGGTATACAACGTTATTAGTTCGATTTACAATATTTCCATTATGGTCGCAACAAAGAAATTTGAAACCTCTTCTGCTCTTAACTCTAGATATTGCAACATAAAGCTGACCATGACTAAATACGGATTTAGGTAGGTACAACCCAACGTTAGACAATGTTTGTCTCTAACTCTTGTTAATGGTCATCGCAAAGCACACCAAGAGGTTGATAATAATTGATAAATTAAGGAATAAAAATAGATTGTCTCATTTACATATAGGAGTCAATTTGGTAAATTAAATAAGAAATGTAAATAGAAATGGTTCCAATTGAAATAAAATAGTTACAAATAATTTTGTTTCGACAAGTAACATTGGAAAACAAAAATAAAATAAATTTGAGGAGAAAATTAAAAAATAAAATAGAAAGTTAAATACTTCTTTAGATTGTAAGTTGATATATGATAAAGTAAAAACAAAATTCCTCGTGTATATTTATTTACAAAATATTTTAAATATATTATCTTTGATGAATTTTTAGATATACAAAAATACTTATTTCCATAATATTTAAAATACATGAGTGGTTTAGTGTTTAATGTATTGGATGCACTTATGCAAGAGTACATGTATAATACCTTTGTTATTTGTTTCAGTTGGATTAAATATTAGAGTAAGATTGATGTGTTTGTTAAGGACGATAAGGAAAATTGTGAGAGGAATGATTTTGATCGATAATTTTTTGAACACATTAGGGAGGGTCGAGATATTAAGTTTGTAATGAAATCTTGATCTATATTAATCCAACCTATTTTATTGTGAGCCCACAACATATCGTTACAATCAATACTTTGTTTTTCGGAAATGTGCTGTAGACTTTGGATGCAGTTGATGGAAAGCAAGCTAGAAGAATTAATCACCCTGATGGTTTGGGTTAAGCAAACACAATAAACACAACTTCTTGCTTGAATTATTGAAGTTCAATAACATATTAGTAAAATAAATATAATAAACTTTTTATCCACATATAGCAAGCCTGCAATTGAACCACCTCATATGTTGATAGAACACAATTGTATAATCTATATATCTAATTATTTTCGATGGCGGGTGATCGTGTATGGCAACACAACCCAAGATAATCAACTGTAAGGGTTTAAACCACAAACAACATTACGAAACCAAAAGAAAGATCAATCAGAAATAAGAACTTAAGATGTGAATCACATCATTGACCAATAACACCATTTAGAACTAAAGATAATATAATCCATAAAGTATTTCAATAGCATAGGAAACAAACTAAATATGCAGTACTGTAGAAAAAAAAACTAAATATGCAGATAACAATAGCAAATAATTAATGTATATACGGCATTTATATATTAGTCATTTACATATAGGAGTCAATTTGGTAACTTGAAGCTGATAGAAGGACGCAAATTAAGAGTCAGGGATATATTAGTCACTTAGTATCACGCTATGTAAGATTATAAAGAATTAAAGGGTTATATTAGTATAAGTGGTATGAAATTACCTAAGTTAGGTTAATAATATTTATGGAATGTCCGAACCTAAATTATTAATTTATAATATCAATATTATTTGTCCAAACCAATTACGAAGCACGATTCTTCGCCAAGTAGGATTCCGAAGCACCAGAAGCAGCCACGTAGGCTCAGCGCATTCGGGAATTATATATAGGGGGGATATGTTATCTATTTTTCCTTTTTACATACATATGCTATCTTTTTTTTTTTAAGCATTGATTATTATTTTATTTACTTTTTGTGATGATTTTATTAGTTTTTTTATTGCTTAACTTTATTTATGATAAAACACATGTTGTTTTCATAAATAGAATTGTTAAAATATTTTAATACTATTATTTATATGAAATTATAATAAGATGACAATGTAACAAAGTATGAGTTTGGAATATTATATTATTGTAATATTTTTTGTACATTACTTGTAATTAGATCTTTAAACGAAATGAGTCGCTCATGAGCTCGAATCGGCTCGTTTAGGATTGAGTTCGGTTCAATTCGTTTAAGAAACAAGGCGAGCTCTAGCTCGTTTAAAGCTCATTTTGTTAAAGTGTTGAGCTCGACTCGATTCTTTTGATAAACGAGAGCTCGATCGAGCTCGTTTAATGCTCATTTCACTAACGATCCATGCTCAACTCGATAAGACTTGAAAAAAAAAATATTTAATTTTTTATAGTTTGACTTGTTAAAGCTCGAGCTCGACTCATTAATATTGATAAACGATCGGCTAAGATCGAGCTTGATTACTGGCTCGTTTAGTTAACAAGCTGAGTCGAGCTCGAGCACAATGAGCTGAAACTCTAGCTCGTTTACAACAATTCCTAGATTTGTAAGAGTAAATACATTTGTAATAATGACAATAAAATATGTCCATTATTCTTAATTATTATATAATTAACATAATTCTTAATTTAATTTATTAGTAATTATTTAGTTAAAATTCATGTTGTACTAACTGGAACTATACATACCCTTGTTAATTAGAATATTGGGACCATATATTTTGCAGAGATTTATTGTTATTAGGGATATTTTTGTCTTACAATTAAATGAGTTTTACAATACTATAAATTAATTGGTTAAAGACTTAAAGAGACATCCTTGTCCGTCTATAGTGGACAGAGTTGATACGAAAAATAAAAAGAGAACAGAATTTACTACTCCATAAATTTTATCAGTTGAAGTGCTTAATTTATGTACACACCAACCTGAACGTGGTGTCTCTTAAATATCCTTCAAAAGATATCAATGAAATATTATATCTCCCCAATTAATCTAACACATAACAAATCATTAAAACTATAATAATCAAACAAGCCAAATACAACATCAATAACAATTGTTAAATGGAAAACAACTGTTAAATGGAAAGTATAATAATCAAACAAGCCAAATACAACATCAAACAATTGTTAAATAGAAAACAACAACATATCAATAAAATTATAGTAATCAAACATGCCAAATACAACATCAAACAATTGTTAAATAAATGGAAAACAAAGTACAATAGAAGGGAAATTCAAAGTTCATATGAATTCGTGCAGATTAATTAAATAAAGTTCTACTTTAGGCGCCTGCAAAGCGAAAGCCCGTCGCCTATCGAAAGATGAACCAACTCGACGCGTTCATCACTCGCCAAAAACGCGTTCAAGTTCTTGAGGTGCATCCGATTTGGGCCAATTTTCTCGACCCACTCTTGGCCCAACTCCTCGTCGGACAATGCCACTGTCCCGGCCCACAATGTGTTGTCATAGGCTATAATTCCCCCGACCTTAACCAGCTTCAGCATAAGCTCGTGGTATTTGATGTAGTTTTCTTTATCCGCGTCTATAAATGCAAAATCGAATGTCCCTTCTTCCCCCTAATAATATCCATACACATATTCATCAAAATTAGTTATGTATAGCAACATGTACTGGTATTTTACTGTTTTATAGTATATGTACATATAGAAACTAAATAATAATCAATTAATCAAATATTTTTCAATATATTAGTAATTACTAATATATACTCACACTTTCAAGCAACTTGTTGATGGCAATCATTGCATCGGAAGCTAAGAAGTCGATTTTATGTGCGACACCGGCCTTTTCCATAAATGGTAACCCGGTTTCGTATGCATCTCTGTCGGTATCGATTGCAATCACCTAATCGTAAAATTAACGAGCATTAATCGTTTTATAGGGTTTAATTTATTTATTATGTCTTATATTTAATGGTACAACATTATTTTGCTCATGTACGATAATACCTTGCCATCGTTAGGGAGAGCAAGAGCAGTCGCCAAAAGCGAGTATCCCGTGAAAACTCCAATTTCGATTGTTTTCTTTGCATTCGTTATTTTCAAAAGCATCGACAGAAATTGGCCTTCATCAACTGGGACATTCATCGTGCTCCTAATAAATATTATTACGAGAAACAAAATTAATGGTAAATATATATTTATAATATAAAGTTAATTAATTAAAATTCATAGCTAATTTTATTTCAATTCATGAGTACATTTGTTGGTATTTCTCAACAGAGGCGTTCCTGAGTTGTTGGAGCTGTGGATGCTCTCTTCGATAAGCACTTGTCTCCAAAAGGTACTGCAATATGTATTTATTAAAATGTACTTAGAATTATATGGGTTATCATATATAGTATAGAATATATTAGCTAAATGGAAAAAAAAAACATATAGAGACATGTATATATATATGTACCTTGGTGAGGGCATCACTCTTCAGAATTGTGCATGAGAATTTCTCTTTCATTTTCGGAGGATAAAATCAAGTGCCGTAGAACAAATATGAATCCAAAAACAGCAAGTTCAAGTTCAAAGTTCAACTTCTCTTATATGTGTAAAGCTTAGTTCCCTGCCCCGTCTTTTTGGTTGGTTATATTTATAGTAGAGTTTTAAGGTAGTTAATGCAACCATTAAATCTCGTAATTGCT